GATGGCTTCTTAGAAATTTCCTTAGACGTTAAACTTTCATCATATTTTGTATAGGTATTCATGGATTGTGAAAACATTATGATAGATGAAAATAACAGACAATCATCTCTTCGGATAAATAACAAATAAAATCTAATATATGTTTACTATATTTTATTCAAAATTTTCAATACTATCTTTCTTGAAAAACTTTTGCGATCGATCAGGCAGATATAGGTCAACAAGAAAATCTTTATAGATTCGAAACCTATTGTAATGTAATAATATTGTTTCTCGAATAAATAATTAATTCATATTCAGTGGAAATATTTTATTAGATAATGAATCTTTATTTAAATTACATTGAATCAAAGATAAATTTTATTGCAAAAAAAAAATCTTTTTTTGTGAAATTTTATTAATTTAATTTACTTAATTAACATCTTTTTCTTTATCTAATTTAAATTGATGAAATTTTGGATTTTGTCTTGGATTTCCTTTAGTAATATTCATTGTTCTTTCTTTTAAATTCATAATTAATGAACAAACTGTTCCAACAGAACCAAAATCTGTTGGTTTATATAATCTACATATTGGATATGTTTGTTTATCATCATAATCAAATAAAATTGATTCTATTGATTTTTTATTTTCCCAAAGTTGTTTAACTCGTTCATAACGATCTAATGAATTTTGATAACGTGGTTTCTCTTTAATATGATCATTATTATTTGTATATAAAAAATGATTTGTATGATATGGTTGATTTCGAATAAAATGAACTTTATCACCTGGCAATTCTACACAACAACATTGACCTTGATCATCACCTAAAGATAGATGGTTTATACAAGACAAAGAAAACAGAAAATCAAATTTTAAATTTACCAACAAGAACATGTCCACCAAAACCAGGTCCATTTTGTTCAAATATATTTAATGCTTGCTCAAGAGTTTTTGCTTGATCAAGTACAGTTCGTAATGAAATATGTAATGGTATGTGTGAAGGATTTGGTGATTGAGCTGATGGATCAACAAAATTAAGTGTAATACCTATACCATGTGAATTAAAACCAATTTTTCCTAAGACACCTGGCTCGGTCATTTGTAAAATTTCATTCGATTTTATATAATTAATAAATACTAAATATTCAAAATCTTCTATCCAATCCCAATTTTCAGCTAATTGACATTTTTGTTTATCATATAAAACTGTACATTCATTTTGCACACCAAATAATAAATGATTTAAGATTTCTAGACGACAATTCAATGCAATAATCCATAATGGATCTTGTTTAGATGATATAGCTATTGAATCAAGTTCTTCTAAATAATCATTAGAAAATAATGATATTCCACGACGATATTGTTCACATAAACTTAAAATATATTTTTCATTAAAATTTTTCTTTTTTGAAAATTGTTCACGATAAATCTTTATTGATTTATCTATACGTTCGGACAATATTGTTCCATGTTCCCAACCACGTTCGCGTGATGTTTGACCATTAAATTGAATAAATGGAAAGATTTCATTAGAATCTATAGACATCCTGTTATTATCTAATTAACAATAGCACTAATACATTCAATTGGTATAGCTAATTATTGATATTTTTCAAAGTCGTTATCTTCTATATACAATGGTTTTTATTGAAAGTATTCAATTACTCAATTAAAATAACTCGTTCACAATATTTTGGTCAATTATTAAAACCTAAATCATCATTAGAAATTTCAAATAAATATCCATGAAAAAAAAAAACAACATTTTATAAAAAGAATAGTTGATTGACAAGATTTCAATGTATGAAGATGTTCTTTATCTATCAAGATGAATTTCAACTATTTTTTTTTTCTACAATAAGTAAGAGAAAACCATGGTTTAGAATAGATATTTTACAAGTATCAAATTGTGTCTCAGTCGAAAAAATAAAATTACTATAGACAGCAAATAATTTATGGATGATTGATAAAATGAGAACAAAAACATTCGTTGAAGTACAAAAGTAAAAGCTAATAAGAGAATAAAAAGTAGGCATTTTTTAAAAATCTTATAACATTTATAAAAATAAATAATAACAATTTCAGGCTATCTTATGACCATAAATAATTACGATTATATCGTAGGTCTAGACTGCAAGTCATATTGAAGGAAATGAAAAGACGAACGAGAATATATGATAACTGTCAAATTATTCAATAATGACGCAAGACATTGTATTTTTTCATGTATTTTCATTGTTAACTTTCTACGAAGACAGTTTCAAACAAGAAAACTAGAATCCTTGAGTTAACATAAATATTTGTTTCAGATCCAGTATATATGACTTGTGATTTTCAGTGTCTGATTATGCTACATTAATTAGTAAAAAGTTTAGTTCAGACAATAATCAACTCCTGTTTTAGCAAATAATAAATAGGATGTCCTTGGAGAACTGTACTTTAGATTGTTATTCATTACCAATCTCAATGAAATTTCAACAGATGGCAACACTAAACAGTTCTGTTTCTACTAGTAAAGACTCATACTCTCAATTGAGAATTATACATTTATCTTTGCCGTACTATTTAAGTCATATCGAATCTAAATTATAGACAGAATTATGATTTATTTCATAGTTTTGTTAATGATCATCGTTAATGTTCTTGGACACAACTAAATAATCTCTCGACGTTAGACTGGATCTAATTTCATTATTTTCAATATACAATCAATCACTTGCATTTCACCAATAAGCTGCTAATACTATAAGTTGTTTACACGATTCTTGAAAAAGTTACACAAATAACTACAAAAATCGATACTATACCATGCTTATGCTTACCTAGTTTTTATAGTAATGGTCAGAAAGTTTACAGAGCATATCTTACATATCTCAAGTTTCATTTTATGGTAATCTTTCTATTTGATGGTCATGTTAGTGAATCAAAATTTCTCGAAATATATTTTACTACTTTTCAAAACATGCATACATATTGTAGATGTTACGAACGTTACGTGTAGTTTTCATAAAATAAATAATATTCCAGCAAGGCTTAACCGATTTTTTTTTTATGGAAAACTGTTGGATAATAGAATTTAATTCTTGTACAGAGTTGATCATAATTATTGTTTTCGCATAGAGAATTAAATTATACTGCAGCATATCATTAACGTGAACAGTCAAAAACACTTGCAGTTGTTTTGTATTCTCATAAAAATTTCGATTATGCAAATCTTTTATTTAAAGCATAAACAGAAAAGGTACTGAAAAAGGTCAAAAAAATATTACATTAATTTGAGTAACTATGAATGACATAATTTGTGTATAAATGAAACTATTATGATAAAGCTTCATTTCTTATTGAATCTCGAATAATATTATTAAAAATAACACAAAAGAATTTAGAAACTAAAGTATACTGTTTTGTTTCTTCTATAATTGTGCCATTAAGTATTGTTTACTCTCTCATCATATATTCATGTTGTTAGAATGCTTCGTATGTAAATAAGATTCTTATCCAAAAATTCTAATTCAACATAAATTTTATAAAAAACAAACAGTTTTTCCATATGATTATGATTCATGTAAAATATTTAATTATTCATGGTAGAATGATTCAAAAATATCTTCATATTCAATCGGAATCGCAAACCATAATGCTATCCGAGCTTTCATAACACCACAAACCTATCATTTAATGGTTAAATATCACTTATTAAACAGTTCTTTACAATTACATATAATTATTGAAAATGGTTCAAACTAAGATCCTACCATATATTTACTGGACAATAATACAACTACGCAGTACAATTACAAGAAAAACTAAATCGATGATCTTGACTTTCAAACGTCATTGTAAGAAAAACATTCAAAAAGATGATTATTTTTAAATGTGTTGCAATGAAAACAGTCGATTTCGATAATGTTTTTTTCCTCTTTGAGATCTTCTTTTCAAAGTAATGCAAATAATTTACAATCATATCAATACATTTATAATGTATTTCGATTACGTTTACTTCATGTTGTTAACATAGAACGCGCTTCACAAACCACATCAAATTTCATGTTTTCTCTTTTCATAACTAACAAAATCATGAGGATTGTCGCATAAAACTAAAGTAATAATCGTCAAAAATTTCCTTTTAAAAAATAATTTCTTAATGAAAAATTTTCCGTTTCTCATAAATTTATTCTATGATCGAAGGATTGATAATGAATAACTTATTGTATCCATATAAATATCTATAACTACAAATGAGTTTATCTTATTTATTTAGAGATGTTTTACCTTTTCGACATATGCATGCTTTCAATAGATGTTAAATTGCTTAACAACCGATCAATCGATATTGCTCTACTCATATTTCAAAGATTATTCATTTAATCGATTGATAAACATCTTTTAAATAGAAAGTAATCGAATATGTCTGTTCTTTTCTAGTTACTAAGTGATTATTTGATTGATTAAATAATATTACATGTCATATAAGGTTGCTGCATGTATATAAATGTTATTTAACATAATTTATACCTCTATGTCTTTCAAAGAAAAAGAAAATTAATAGAACTAGTAATAATAGTAGACTCTATGATGGCATGCTGTATTTAGAAAGTAGTTCATTAATGAGTTTAAATGTCATAAAATTAAAATTCATAGTTTTTTTTTTCAATTTTTCTTGTTATTAATAACGATGAATAAATCTTGTACAAATAGACGAAATGCAAAAAAACTTCAAACGGTAGTGAAGTAGCGGAAAGAGAAGGCATATTGAAGGTATTCTGTTTCTTAGTTTGTCCGTTAAGAGAACTTTAAAAACAAGAAGAAAAGAAATATATTTGTATGTGTGTGTCTATGCATCAAGTTGTTAAGAAGAAAAGAAATATGGCATTTCATTCACTATTTAACGAACAACATCAACGGCAACTCCATTTTTTTTCTTTTTTTTTAGAAAAATTAAAAATAGAAGAGAAAAGAACGATCTTGTTCAATATATTAACGTTCATAGTAGAAAGATAGTACTACAAAAAATGCTTCAACCACGCCTTGAAAATGAACAGTTTAATTCATTACCAAATTTATTGACAAGTGAACGATCACGTACGGCATTTATTACAACTGATCGTCCTGATTCTTCACAAGTATTGTTAAAATAAATGGAAGGAAAAAAAAGACTTTTGTTTAAATATTTATTTATTCATTCATAGCTTGTTGATTTACATGTTTATATTATTCCAAAAAAAGTCTGGAAAGATGTTCAACATCTAGCAGAGAATGAAGCGATGGAAGAGGCTATATCAGCTGGTTTCGTTCAGTAAAAATATACACACACACACAAAAAAAAAGAATTTTTACATTTTTAATTGATTGAAACTATTTAGTGTATCACCTAATATGAAAATACGTGATTTACGTGGATCAATTGAACAATTATGTGGAACAGAAAGTTATTTTCCACGAGAGTTTATTTTTCTTCGATCAGTTGGAAGATGTTTGACAAGAGTTAAACCAAGACAAGAAAGTGAATTAAAAGTAAAAAATTATCGTCCACCACAGGTTAGAAGAAATGTTTTTTTTTTATTTATAAAAATATTTGATTAGATTATTTATTATTTTAGACATTTGCACCGGAGGTTAATAAAGAAATCTGTTGTTTTTTGATTAGAAAAAAGAAAAATATATCTTTTTCTTTTTCGGTTAGATCTATTTACTTGAAGGTCGTCATGAAGACTATGCACATATTCCATGTGCTTCACCAGCATTATCATCAACTAGTTATATATTTGGTAATCGTAATCAAAATCATTCGAATTATAATGATGATAGACTATCACCAACAAGATTTGCTCAAAATCATAATCGTAGACCAATGCGTGGTGGAAAACATTATCCACCAGTCATGAATACGAATGATTCATTATATCATTTTCCTTCATCAGAAAGACAAAGTTGGACGAAATTTACACAAATTGGTTCAGGTAATTTAAATTTGTATAATGTTGAAAAAAAAACTTTATTCGAGTTTTTTATTTCTTTGTTTGTTTTATAGATCACGACGAATCATCAACTCAGTAAGTGACAGGAGGATGATTTTTTGAAAAAAAAGAGAAAAATAAATTTAGTTTTATTTTTTCAAAAATCAAACAAAAGAATGATGATGATATTTCCTTTTCTAGAATATCTAATGTTACAAGTATTGTATCGAGGTATAAATACACAATTCGTTTTTTTTTGTGACAATCGCATTACTAAATCTTGTGATTTGTTGTTATTGCATTACTTTATGTATACATTTCTATGTGTATAATTAAAATAACATTGATTTTTCTTTTTTAGGGACTTATCGAAATTGAAAGAAGAACAAGAACGTCTTCGTCGACGTCAAGCTGAACTTGAACGAATGCGTCGAGCTGCTGAAGAAAAGAAAGCTCGATCTGAACGTGATGAAGGTGAACGTCGTCGTCAACAACAAGCTAATACTGAACGAGAAGAAGAAGAACGTCGTTATCGTCAAGACAAAGCTGAAACTGAACGTCGTCGTTTAGAACAAGAAAGAGCCGAAGCCGAACGTCGTCGTTTAGAACAAGAGAAAGCTGAAGCTACACGCCGTCGTTTAGAACAAGAGAAAGCTGAAGCTACACGTCGTCGTTTACAACAAGAAGAAGTAGCTGCAACGAAAATTCAAGCATCTTATCGTGGTTTTAAAGATCGTCAAGCATTTAAAGAACGTAAACGAAGGTAAATCTTCACTTGCTATTCAATGAAAAACAGAAAATTCTTTAGCTCTAGTTAATTAAGGTTCTATAAGCGTTATATCTTATTTCCTACCTTAGCTCACTTTCAGGTTACATCGCACTTTATTTAGCTTTGATCAACAAACCAATGAGGTAGGCATTATAAGTTGAGATTTGTACAGAAATCTTTTTTTTTTATTACTATAATCTTAAATATAGAAATTGAACATTTCATTTATCGTATCTGTTAAAAAAACAGACGATGTCGAAAAACGTGATTAGAGAAACAACTTTTTCTTTTTTTATTGTGCATGACTCTTTACTGTGTAGTTTTGATTTTTTCTTTTTTTTTAATTTGTTAATACATTCCAACTCATTTCTTCAGTGTTATTAATGATGATTATCGAATATTATCATCAAAATCTCATACAACAAAGAAAGAAAAAGTAAAAACGAATAAGGAGAAAATCGATATTGATCATGATAATCATACTCATGATTTATCTCACGGGTTAGTGCTATTATTTATACTTTGTATACTAATTATTGATTTATTATTTTGTGTGTGTGTGTGCATATAATTGCTTATTTGTTGATTTGATTGTACTCTTGTTTTGTATGATTGCAAAGATTTTACATAAATCGATACAATATTCTCATATTCTTACTGATTACTTAGTACGAACAGGTTGGATCTTGTAACAAAAGTTGAAAAAGAAAATGAAACATCAATTAAAAATCAAGCAACCTATCAAAATTTTCGTCGACGATCTTTACTTACACCAACACCTGTAGAAAACAAACAGTAAGATGATTGCACTGTTTGTTTATTTATTCGATTTTATTAAAAACAAATATTCACATGCACATAATCCATATTTGCTTGATTCATTCATTTTCATTATAAATATTACCTTACTTTTTTTTCCTTTTATTCAATCAATATTTTCAGTGAAAACCAAAAAATATCAAGTTCGAAAAGTTCAAAATCGGACGATAATGACAATGAAAATGAGGATTTACAAAATGACATGTATGCATATGTGTTGCTTATATCTTGTTTGTCTATCTAATATCATTTCGTTTGTTTGTGTAACCCTTTCATCATGCTAGTTCATTGGATTCGATATTGTCATGACTTTATGACTCCATCTAATTGAACTAGAATGTATATCTGTTGTTTTCTTTTTTGGCTCTATTATCTGCGTCTCCTTATTATGTATCTAGTAGTCAAATTCTAACACGATCATTATCGATCGGATCGACATCAAATCTCGATTCTTCCAATACAACACAAGCAGAAACATCACGATTAAAACAAGAACATACAGAAAGTATTGATTCGACTTCATCATCCGTATTATCAATAAAAAATCTAAGGAAAAGAAGTCAATCAAATTCATCAACACATTCAAAAACTCAAGAAACAGTTGATACAGCACCATTTATTATTGATTCACCTGTACATTCATCAAAGAAAGAAAATAAATCCTATGATAATGAGATTAATTCTCGAAATGAAACTGCTTATAAATTACGACGGTCATCATCTGAATCTTTACAAAGAAGTATACCCGAAACTGATCCTGAGCATAAAATGATTAATGATGAGTGAGTATCGATCGTTCTTTCTTTGAACACAATAAATAAATAAAAAAACACACATCAAACAACATGCGTGTGCAAATTAATTATATGTGTGTATGTGTCTTGTAATTGATTATTTACTAGTTTGTCTTTTACTTGTATTTACATATATATCTCACTTATTCTGTTTTTTCTTATCAACACAAGAAAATAATTTTATTTTAATTGAAAATTGAAATCAAAATTTTGATTTATAATTTAAAGAATTGAATCAGAACGACGTGAAACTGAAAATAAACGACGTCGACAATTGGAAGATGATGACCAAAAACGTAAAGCAAAAGAATTAGAAGAACAACGACGAAGAGAATTAGCTAAACGACAACGAGAAGATCGTAAGTACTAACAAATTTCATAGATTCTCATTGAATTAATATTCTTATTTAATATTGTTACTTCTTATGGTTAAAATATTTATTTAAAATGTATACGTCAATTCCATTTTTAGAAATCTAACAAAAAACAAACTACTTATGTCAATCTTCAGTTGAGTAGTTAATTCATAAACTGTTGAAAGTACATTTTCACGTGAGAATGTTCTCGGTAGAAGACCACTAAGAATTGACTATATTAAGGATTTTTTTTTCAATTGACTATCTGCAAATTGAGTATTTCTCTTGAAGAATTAGTCATCTGTTTCAACTTGAATCGATTGTCAAATTTCAGTTTTTACATTCATTTGATTTTGTGTTCTCTTCATTTTATTACTTCAAAAAAACAAACCTGTCTATGTACGGCTTTGATAATTTTTTGAAAGTTTGCACGATTTCAGTTTAAATCTAAATAAAATAAAAACGACAAGAATTTTTTCGAACTCGTTGGTTGAGTATATTAAGTACATTGTAGTATGAAATAAGATAAGCGACATTTATAATTGACTCTATCAATAGTAGAAGATAAACAATATTTTTTACACAAGATTCAAAACGATTTCAAAATCTTAACTATGATCTATTAAGAAAGATAGAATCTTATAGGCTTTTCAGCTGATTTTAAATGAATTTATTGATTTTTAAAGACTTTGACATATACCGTTAGAAATGGTATGAAAGTTTTGCACGAGATGAAAGTAATCTCAGTGTGAGAGTTAAAGATAATCGAAATTCAAAATTCACTAAGTCAAGAACGGAAGCAGATAGTGATCTGTAGTTTTCAGTAATGAAAAGAGAAGACATGGGAATGTCTTTTTCTCTAGTTACTATTTGGAACAGAATTATTTCGAATCGAATGATTTCCATATAACATTCAAAACATGAATAAGAATAGTGTGCCATTCGGACGAAATTTCCATTTTGAAATGTCTCTTAGATTGAGAAGATTAAGATTTAGAGTCCAAGAAACAATTTGAATGATTATCTTCTCACATTCGAATGCTGAACAAATCAAATTGTTTATCTAGTCGATCAAATAATATGGAATTTTTAATTTTTTTTTGAAGAAATTGTTGATTTCATCCTATATGTAAGAAAAAGATGTTTCCATGTTTTTTTTTCTTTCAATTTGGAAAAACTACAGGTCACTATATACTTTTGTCTTCGACTGATTCAATGTTTAACCGACATCCACAAAGTCTAGTGATGCTATTTGTAACGTATGCCACTGTTTATCGATTAGCATAAAACATTTCTCTTGAGTGATTAAAATAATTTTTCAAATAGAATATTTTTATTATTCTAGCTGAAACACTTCGTGCACGTCTTCAAGAATTACGTGCTCGTCGTGCTGATTTAGAAAAAATTCGTGAAGAAGTTATTAAACATTTAAAAAATATACATAATCGAATAACATTACGACGTAAAGAAGGTGATTAGATATTTCTATTATGATTATTATTAATATCTAATAATGAATTCGAATATATTTAGCACGTGATATGTGGAAGAAAAAATATTTTTTTGAAAAGAAAAAAACTCCACCATTAGAAGAACGTGTTATATTATTAAAAAATGAATTAGAACAAATACATAAGAGAACAATTCAAACTATTGATGGTGAAGCAAAACATGCAATGCAAATAGGTTATGCAAAAGAAGCTGAAATTGGAGTAAAATTACATGAAATTTCTTTTGTTTTTTTTTTGTTAATTTGAATATTTATTTATTTATTCAAATTCTTTGCTCTTAGAATTATCTTGTACAGGTAACACGTACTCATCATGATATTCAAGATATTCGTCATCAAGTTGAACAAGCAAAACTACGATTAACAACTGATGTTAAAGTAAAAATCAGAAAAAACAGACTTTTTTTTAATTCTTTTTTTTTTAATTTATATATTTTTATAGTTACGAAATCAAGCTGAAAATGAATGTCGTTCATTAAGACATGAATTGAATCAAGCTAAAATGAACTTAAATCATATAAAGACTCGCGTTGGAGTTTAAATTGTCATTTTTTCTTTTTTTTCTTATTGCAATATACAATGACGGGCAAAAAGGGGGATGCATACATATAATGAATAAAATAACTAAACTACAAACAAACAAAGAAAAAAAAATGGTTGTAAGATTAATATGATTGTTTTAGAGTTTAATCATCGTCATCATCATCGTCCTTGTCGTTGTCTTTTGTTTCTTTTTTTTCATCTTTGGTTTTCATATCTTGTTTTTTAGCATTACGATCAGCTGTACGATACGATTCTGTTGATGATGATGATGATGATGAACTATCATCCTTTTTTAATGCAGCAATAATATTTTGTTCAGTTTTTTTTAATTGTTGTTTGAATAAATCAAGAACATTATGAACATTAACAGTAATTGTTGCCTCATGTTCATGATGTTCCTTATGCATATGATCAAATTTTTTATTTTTATCATCAACTTCTATTAAATATAAAAACAATAGAATTAATAACAAAGATTATATTTCATTTACCTTTACTATTATCATCATCATCATCTTTTGATGCAGCAGCTATTGTCATATAAATAGAATATTGATTATAAATTATTTTCTGTTCTTTTGTTTTTGAAAATCTTACTTGTTGTTGTACTATCAGTACTCGATTTATCAACCTCTACTGCTGATGGTACGACGCCAACAACAGTTGGATCATCAGCTGATACTTGTACATAGCTTGCTGAAAGATAAAAAACAAATATATATTGAATAAGTTTTGATTTATATTTTTGATTGGAAAAGTAGAAATTAGAATTAAAACAAACCTGCAATACATATGGCAAATAAAGCAAATAATTGAAGATGCATTATATTCCGATAGATTAGAATGTGTTAGTGAATGGCAAATGAAGAAAAAGTGATCAAATGTGGAAGCGTCAGTTGTATATATATATATATATGGTAGAGCAGACAGAAAGATAGAACAGACAAAATAACATCTGTCATAGTTCTTCGTGTTGTATGGAGAAAATAGCTCATTGGCCTGACTGCCCCGAAAAGTCACGGCATCATCCTCTTATCACTTATAGTAGAACATAAAGTTGAACACTAAAAGGGCAGCATAAAATAATAATGCGCAGCTGTCATTTATATTCATACATTCTCATTAGATATGCAGATGCATAAATGTATCTTCACAATAGTCATCGACGGGCTGCGTTCATAAATGTCTGCGAAGTATTATTATTTGTTCAGTAGAATGATAGTAAGCAATAGAGTTAATGAACGGGTCACGAAAAATGATATGTAGTCTAGTCAGGAAAACTGCATTTGTTTATCTATCAATCAACTAGAAAGAAATGTTAAAGGAAAGTACAATACTAATGAACAGATGTTTAGTCTTACACCAAAGTAAGATGTGAGAAAGAATAAACTATCGTTTATAAAAGAAAGAGAAAAAGAACGATCAAATACATTCTGTTTTAGACAATGAATAGAAAAATATCTAGAACATTTCAACGTTTATTATAAGAGCTTTTAAAAGAAAATTTTAAAAATTTCAAACTAAGAAAAAGAAGAAGAAGTTTAGTTTAACATTGAAACAGGCAGTTTTTTTTATTCATGGAATTTTTATCATATACAAGTAATAGAATCAATTTTCATGCTACAAATTTTGATAGAAATAAAATTTTCAACAAATGAAAAATAATATAAAACTAAAGACATTAATAAAGGCTATGTTTTCTTAGTCTTTCCAAGCATAAAATATGCTAATTGATAGAATGTAATATGACGAACAAAACTGAATGTTAAAAAAACAAGAGATTCATATATTAGTGGAATAGATAATGCTGTGGTTTGTATCATAGTTTCCAGTTCAATGATTTGGAAGATTTAAATCAAAGAGAATTACTAATCAGCTCATTTTATACAAACTAGCTTTACATATACAAAATAGTTTATCATTTCGTAAACTGGGTGGCAAACAGCTTCATGTGCTCTGCTACAGTATATAAACAATTTTCAACTCAAATGAGTTAGTATCAGATGAGCAAGTACATATTCAGAAAAAGTCTAATACTATCAAGGATTCGGATATTGCATAAACAAAGATCTTGACTTTTGATTCTCATATTACTAATACTAGATTATTCAGATGAGTTGGAATTCTTAACATAGTTCGCATAGAGTAAAACAAAAAAATCCTCGTTGTCATTCATATAAAAGGAGTCGAACGATCGAAACCAATTCAATTAGTTTATATGAATTTGTTGCAAGGTTAAAAGTGTTTAAATCTTTTACATATTGGCTGTTGTTTTTTTTTCTAATATCTGAAAAGCAATAAATCAATTTACTAATAAAGAAACATGCGACTTATCTGTCAAGATAGGCGGTATTATATCATTATCACAAGCAATACTTCATACGTTATTAATCGAATTATTCGACAAACTACTAAAGATTAAGTATTAACGATATTTCACTAACACGATAAAAAACTGACATCCACATTGATTCAAGAGTCATTTATTATAACGACCATTAGGAGGAACAGGATCTAAAAAGAAAATTTTAAAATACAGATCTGCTGTGTTTTTTTCTTCATTGATTATCTATCAAGGACCTATCAGTTTCTATTACTTCGGAACGGATCACAGATAAATAAGTGATGGTTCTGCATCAATTCATGACTGATTTCCGTATTTCTCTTATGATACTTTAAACATATTTGATTCGTTCGTATATTAAACTAGCAATAACAAGAACTGACAAAAATACCATGAGCGAAATTTTTAATGAATCAGAGTCAAAAAGTAAATTACATTTTGCTTAATGCCGAGAAATCTCATCTAGTTTCTAAAGTTATCTTGTCCTGTACGGGTTAAATGTCATTTTTGTTATTTGATTGTTATTTCTTAAAAGCTTCATTGTACTTGAGTATTTTCAATTAGACTCTGTAGAAAACATCTGAGTTATCGATCATTTTGACAGCGACATTTTCAAAACATGAATTTCTATTTACAATAAAGTCAATCATATAAACATAAATCTATTAGTTGGTAAATCTAAAACTAATTGACATGGTATCCATATATTTATATATATATCTACTTTTCAAACATGCATTCATCTACTTTAAACTTTATGGAAATAAGTTTCATTTTGTACAAGTATTAATTATAGTATAACAAATCTAACAAAGAACATTCATGTTTAATCGAATATATAATCGAAGATTACTTAAGATGCTTACTATAATATTATATAATTTTTCTAAAATAACGGTCAAGGTTAATTCTATCATCAATTAATGATAATGTCTAAAAATAAAATCTCTAATAACTGTCTTAACATTTCAAATGGATACTCTCAACATTCTCAATAAAAGATATAATAGATGAGTAATAGAAGTACGTGCTTTTTTTTTCTTCATGCATATTAGCATTTAACATAACTGATTTAATTACATGAAAATCATGAAATATTCAAGTATAATCATAGAAATTATCTATTGAAATGTTGAATAAATTATGAATAATACATCAAATCTATAAATTTATATTTAATTTTTCATATTATTTAAAAGAAAAACGAAAATGTCAAACGAATAATCGACTACATTGCATTAGATATACATGTACATATATAGATATAGATATAGATATTTGTTGTTATTCCCTGCATTTCAATAAACCGGATACGATGGTATTCGATGTGTAGGAATGTTATTATTATTATGACTTGGTGATGCTCGATAAAATTGATGATGCATACGATCAAGTAATGTTAATGGTTGATGATTAACTAATTCAAGACGTGATCGTCTTTGTTGTTGTGAACGATCAACAAAATCATTTGTTGATCGAGTTGATGTTAATAAAACTGAAAGAGGTGAATAAAGATCTTCTGAAAAATTTGGCAAAATATGTTTATCATATTTTGTTGGAATTGGAAAATGTTGTTGTAATGAAACATCACGTCTACGTATACGTCGTGTTGGAAATTTTTGTGCAGATACTGATATTGGATGATTATCATAAATACTTTTAATACGTTGTTGACGATGATCTGTACTATATGAACGTTTTGATATAGTGGATTTTTTTTCATTAATTGATCCATTTATTGTATCGGTTCGTTCATCCGATGATGAATTTGATCGATTCGTGGATGATATAATTTGTTGTTTACGTATACGACGACGACGTTTACGAGTTGTACTTGATGATGATATATCAATAGAATCTTCGTCACTTGAATGATAATTTAATGGTGGTACACTTGATGTAGTTGTACATGAAGTTGCAAGTAATGGATAAGTTTGTGAAGAAGATACAATTGGAGACGAAGATAGTTTTGATGATACACTTATTGAAACAACTTGCCTCTTTTCAGGACTCATTACTTCAATACTTGTTTTAAGAGCTGATATACCATTAGATAATGGTAATTTTGATGAATGTAAATTTTCATAATCATCATCATTAGAATCAACATTTGTTTGCATTGTTGTTGTTATTGAAGGTTGAATAATCAATTTATCATATATTTTATTTTGATATGATGATGTTGATGAAGCAGCTAAATATTGTTCACATTCAAGTGTTAATGCACGAAATAAATCATCTAATGTAGAAGAATTGAGAAGTGGTTGTGGTTGTTGTTGTTGTTTTTGTAAATCAGATTGATAAATATGATGACGTTGACGATGATGTTTTAATGATGAAGAATTACGCCGTGGTGGTAGTGGTGCTATGGATGAGGATGGTGGTGTTGTTGTCATGATTGAAGATAACATTGATGAAGGATGATAATCATGTTCGGCAAATGTCAATGATGGTGGTGTTTGTGTTGAAGATCCTTGAGAAAATTCATTAGTTGATGAAGATTCATTTTGAAGTATATCAGATAAGAGAAGATTAAGGCGATTTTTTGCATTCATTTCTATTTTTGATGAAGTCTAAAATGATATAGATATTTTGATCATTTATCTTTTTTCTATACGGTAGTATGTGTCTAGACACAATGTCAATCGACCGTAACGTAACAAAACCAAAAGTCAATTTTTATAATTAATATTGCAGTTCAATGTCTCACTTTTCCTTTCTTTAATCAAAATATTTTAATAATCATTAAAGTGATAATTAGAATAAAAAATGATATCATGTATTATAATTAATTTCTAATTATCATATGTATTAACAACTTAGTATTAATATCTCTGATATGGCAATATAGAAACAACATACAAGTTGCCATCAATAACTCTATGTTATTCTTACCGTTATTAATTATTTGACCATAAAAAAATTACATTGATCACAATGTAAATCATATTCTAGCCATTTATTCTACTTGAGTGAAAAAAATAAGAACAACAATTAGCATATTAGGTAGACAGAGTAAAGAAAAAAAAAAGACACTGACATCTCCTTCTTTCTTTCTTGTCAATGTAAAAATGTGCAAAAGGAAAAGAAGACGAAGAAGGCCATCTAGTTTTGTTTAGCGGATAGAATAATCAAGGATGATGACTTGTATTTTCTTTTTTTTTCTTTTTTTCCTTCTTCGATCGACGACATACAGAACACGAACTCTGGTAAACGACACATGCACACAAATAAAAGAAAAAGGAAAAGATAGAAAGAAAAGATGGTTGATTATCGACATTTGTGTCTGTCAACCGAATCTACTTTCTTTTCTGATGATGACAACGAGTACTCACAATGTTCATTCATTCATTTCTAGACACGCAAGAGGCTTCCAACAATTAATGAACTCTACATAACAAAGAACAAGTTGAAGATTCAGAAGAAGAAGAAAAAAAACTATGGCATCACTAATTTATTCATCTCTCTTTGCATAGAGATATCGTAGACGCAAAATGCAAATTCAAACCATAAAAAGGATAAAACTCATCATCACTCTTCAGTCGTTCGTTGTTTTAATTTCCCAGTAGGCTTGCATAGATGCAGTCAATGTTCAATGTTACATAGTAGCATGCTTCACATAATGGGTGATTGCGCCATAACTGTCGTATCGTTCTTTTTTTTTCTTCTCTCACATTGTATTCAATGTTAATAGGGCTGTTTAGCATATAATAAAACTTTCTTTACTGATGATGAGTGGGTAGAAAAATCGAGAGGTACTATCGCTTGTAGTCACAGCAAGAATATTTCGATGAAATTTATCTATAATTATAGATCGGTATTTGACATATATATATTATTGATCGATGATTATATTCATACAAATGAAAAGAATCGAATACTTTAAATGTCTTTGTGTGGCTATATCTGATACTAAAGTGTGAGAAACAAATGATGCTTTGAACAATTTGTCTGTCTGTCTGCCTGTCTAGATACATATATATATGCCTCTCTTTACAGAGGGTTAATAGGTTTCAAATGTCATTTAGTATTTATATTTCATTTTCATGTGTAAATAAAAAACTTGAAAATCAACAAAAGAAAATTACATTCCATACGATGCTGATAATAAATTGCATTTGTTTCTTCAATTTTTAATTTGTCAGACATGTACCTCAATTATAAATTGATATAATAATAATGATTTGTATTCATAAAAGAAAATAAAGTGAAATAAACTTTCATAATGCTGTTCATACTATACTAACCTGATAATGAAGTATAGGAATATCATGTATATTTGGTTTTGTATGATACGAACTTTGTTTAATAAATACTCCATATGTAAGAAAAAGATTGTTCTCGATTTTCAGTAGGAATATAATCTGACACAAGAGAAAGTTTTATGTGCTTTTCTTTCTAATCTTGAATTATTCGTAGTGAATTCTTCATTTTAAATGTAAATAAATAAAGTTAAAGTTATATGAAGTAATTCATAGATGTCATACTATCTTGATTTAAATAATATTTATAAATGAAACCTAGTAAAAATTTTCTCAATAAATATTTATTTTGTTCGAATTGAATAATCTAATTCATTACTAAAAAAAAATTTTTTTTTTGTTCATTATCTACTTAAACATATTAAATAATCGTATGAGAACATGACAAGCTGGGAAACAAATAGAGATAATATTGCAAAATGAAGAAAGATATAGTAAACATATCTTCATATGATACGGATTGATAACATATTTCGAAATCTATTGAGCAATTACAAGACGATGAATAAGAGTTCATTTGAGTAGGATTATTACAAGAGTATGGTCAATATTATCATTTAATTGAATTGTATTGAACAATGACATATCATTGGTTTCAGATCTTTGAAAAATATAAACATCGATCGAATAGTATACGTTACATAAGAGTTTTGTTTTAAATGATTCAAAAAGAAATTAATTTTATCATTGGATATCAACATTTGAATACAATTCACTTTTCTCGATATAAAAAATATACAACATCTAGATTTCTAACAAAACTAGTATCTATTGTGAGTATATGTTATTCACTCGGTGACATAAATCCTTTTAATCTGAAAAAAGAAATAAAAGAATATTGACACAATTATTTTTTTTTGCTTTATTCAATATATTCTTTGTCCTTTAAATTGCTTGATATAAGCATAATATAGTGTCAAATGACTATTTACTGTTGAAGTTTTATCAATGAACAAGAAAAGGTCTTCTACTAAAAAAGTAAATCTCTTGTGACTCGTATTCAATTAAAGAATAAAACTATATACAATTGTCTATTTTAGAGATGACGTTAAGATGGATCTGATTATGATGAATAACCAGATTTTGACTCTAAAGTATTCGTACAACATTTCGAACCAATCTTTACAAGATTTTTCAGTATTGAGTTTCTATTTTCGATCGATTTCATTTTTTAGTTTTCAATGTTAATATATTTTTATCAACCAATCAGTATTCAAGGTAATGGTTTAAGATTGGTATATTCAATTACTAATTTCGAAAAAACATAAAATATCACTGTAGAACAGCTATCGAAATAATTTTTCATTTTCATCAACTAAGAAACATTCTTTCATTTGCTAAAATACAATAATAAAGATATTAATTGATTTCGACAAAAAACCAGATAGAATATAGTCTTTCGAGTAATCGTACTACTTTAGTAATAATATAATTACTATTCATAAATAAAAATTAGTTGTTTTTCTTATTCTGTATAATTATTCTATATTAATTATTTTGTTTTGTTGAAGTATCAACAAGTACTGATAATCTATGAACATATAATTTGTAATTTATAAGCACCTAGAATAACTACATTTTCTTGATTAAATAAGAATTGAGCTAAAAATATGTGTGATATAGCATCTGAAAATAATTTTGATTATTATTACGTTATTTCTATTGTCAATCATATACTCCAGCAGACGGAAACTGATACATAAAAATTCTTCTTCTCCATCTGTTGATTTATCTTCTGATTGCAAACAGAAAAAAATAAAAGTCAACAATTATAGAAATGTCACGAGTAGTCATCGACCAAGCGAAAAAAAACTCGTAGATTTCTTAATCTATAAAAAGATCTGATTTATTCTATATTTGTATCGTTTGAATATTAAACTGGACACAATAGAGAATCTTCATTTAATATTTGACGTTTGCCTTTGAAGATCAAATTATTTTATTTTCTTTCTTTCTTTTTTTTGTCTGTTCGTTCTGTCTGACAACATAAAAACCGCTGCTACCGTCGTCATCGATTGATTTTGCATTGTAGTGGTACATGCATACATCTACATTCATATACATACACATGAAATACAATTGAATCGAAAGAAAAACGACAACGAAAGTCATCGTCAGCATTTTGACACCGTCATTCATCAAACACTCATCATTGATTCTTGACGAGCTAATACAGCATACAATATATATGAGTAAGCGAATATGTTATGTTTTCATAGTATACTATTATTATCATAAAGTAGCCTTTGTTGAAATATTTTTATTATTTTTACTTTTTTTAGTTTTGCCATATATATCATATTGATAAAGTAACTTCTATAGAAAAAAAAAGTTAAACAATTCTTTGTGATTATTGTTCTCACGATATGTTTTTGTCATGGTCACTGTGCTTCTATTATTCTGTGTGTTGGACTTTCATATTCAGATAATCAACGGTAAGTATCAAATATATATATATATATATAGATATATATGTACATATCAATTGTAAACAGATAGTATAGAGCCATTGTTGCTCTCTTTCCCTTTTGTCACGAACAGTCGCTTTTAATTTTCAATGAACTTTCTCATATCAAACAGAAAAGTTGAAAGAAAAGCAATTTTCGTTTTTTTTTTTTGTATTCTTATATATTCTGACATTTTAATCGTAAATTACAAACGACGACAACTTTCAAATACAATATATGAAATTCAATTCACCTATGTACTTTCATTAATTCATCTGATGTGACATTATATACTTGAAAAAAAACACAGAAAGAAAAAAAACCTACAGAAAACTAATTACTACTAGAAACTATTACACGACAAATGTTTAAAAGAAAATGAATATAAATGTAATGAGATGAGACAAATCAAGGATAAAATAAATATGGGATCAATAACAGCACGAGAAAAGAAAGTTTCTATTTGTTAATAATTTATTTTAACATTTCATCTTCTAGCTGCCTGTAGTGTTCCACTTGGTTTAAGTACAGGTGAAATAAAAGATTGGCAAATAACAGCAAGTAGTATTGATGAACAACGTAAAGAACAATGTCAAGCAAATTATATTCGTCTTTATTCAAATAGTAATAATCGTGCATGGTGTCCAAGAACAGATCAACCACATCAATGGATTCAAATAGATCTTGGTACACCAACAAAAGTAATCATCTCGTATAATACGACTTCTGTTTCTTTTTTTTTTATTGAATTTATTCATATAAATAGTTACATGGCTTCATGACACAAGGTCGACCAGGTTCAAGAGAATGGATTACATCTTTACTTATATCACATAGTCTTGATTA